AAGACATAAGGAGACCTGAAAAACATGATCAGTTATAATAAAAATACTATTCGTAATGTATACGTAAGAAATTTAATTGAGCAAAAGTAAATAAACTAATTAGGTACAGAAGAATAACAGCCCAGGTTGTTACAAGCAGGGTTGTTAAACAGATATAAGCAAAAATTCAAATTTTTGTTTTTACAGTGCCATGTATATTATTGAGAGACTTTTGTTGGTAGAGTCCTATATATAGGAAAAAATAAGATGAAACTATTTAATCTATCAACGAGGAAATTTTCTTTCGACTCTAAAACGATACATCATATTCATGAATCACATTATTACACATATTATCTGTGGTGACGATACAAGAAAAAGTAGCCTGCAGAAACTTTATGTGACATACAATAATGGCATGAGGCTACTACTCAAAGTGCCTAGATGGAGTAGAGCTAGCCATATGTTTGTACATAATGCTGTTCCCACATGTGCAGCTGTGCTCAGGAATCTTATGTATATATGTCATATAATTGCAATTTTAGTAATTCCTGCTTTTTGTACTGTGAGATTCTCTTCAATATTATGGAGTCATTGGCGTCATCATTGATTTGTGACTGGGTGAATAATATCATGTCATGTTTATTTTTATTTTTCTCTTATTTTGTTTGTTTTTTCTATGGACCTTTTTGTGCTTGAAATAAAGATACGATTGATTAATTGATTAGTCTTCTTAAAAGATAGTCCCTGAGAACAATTCTTAAAGATATAACCAGTGTTTTCAGAAAAGTTGAGCTGACTTTCCAGAAATGACTCGAGGTATTTAAAATTTGCCACAGTTTCAACAGGTTGGCCATCAAGTGAAACTGGAATCACTTCAGTTCTTGTTTATCTCATTTAATTAGCTCTACTACCTTAAGAAAATGAAAAGGTATGTTCTTTTGTGAGGGAATGTATCTTATACTGTTCCAGTAATACCAGAATTAATAATAAATAATAAATACATTGTGATATTCTGATTTAGTAATGTAATTAGATTAGTTGTGTTACGACCGCCACGCAATTAGAGGCAGTAGCAAGCCGAAAAGATGCGACTGAGGAGCAGATTTAGAAGTACACGAAAGCTACAGAATTTGCTAAAAACTGTGAGCTGCCGTGAAGTAAATAAAAATAAATAAATTCAAATGCATTGTGAGAGTGAAACTCCTTCCTAAAGGTGACAATATATCACAGATTTCAAAAGAAAATAAAAACGGAAGTATATGAAATAGCGCCCCCTTCACTTCCGGATTGCAATGATCCCATTTCCAAATAAGGTGTGAGAGTGACAGTGGTCCGTCCCCGCCCCTTTCTGTTTGCTACAGTGAGGTGTACTTGGAAGTTGTGCTCAGTGTCTTCTTTGGAGGTTTTTGTGTCATT